GTTGAAGCAACGTGATTGGTTACAGATTGATGCACTTCAATGAAGGTTATATATCACTGCATAAGAAGGGACAATGATCCCAGGAATTCCTATCTCTGGGGCTGCTTAGTCTTCCTATAATTTACTGGAAAATTTCTTTTTGACATGGAACTTTGCTGTTGTCCAGGCTTGAGGGCAGTGTCGTGGTTCACTACAACCTCCACATCCTGGACTCAGGCAGTTCTCCTGCCTCAGCCTCCAAATACCTGGAATTACAGACTCACACCAGCATGTTCAGCTAACTGTGTTGTATTTTTAGTAGAGACGGGATTTCACCATGTTTTCTAGGCTGGTTTCCAACTCCTGACCTCAAGTGATCCACCCACCATATCCTCCCAATGTATGGAGGGGGGGTAAACAGGAAGATAGTCAAGCTTATGTATGTGGCATTTGAGATCTGTGCATGAAAAAATACTAAGGCACTGTGTGTATGTGATTTGTGCATGGGAATGAAACTCCTTACACCTAAAAACAGGACAGGGTGTGGCATGGGGATTGTGATAAGGAACGCTAAAAACAGCCTCATGAGAATGCAGTTTGAGTGTGTACAAGGTCACAGGTGCCTCAGCAACTCATCTCAAATAACCATCTAGTGAATGTTTGTAGTTAATACAAGCCCTTTCAATAAATACTTAGTAAACAAATGCTTGGGCGGACTTTCTTGGAAGAGCTACCACCTAGCCCTGTTCAGCCGAAACTGTCTCATTACTTCATTCTTCGCATTCACTGCAGCTATAAGCTCTGCAAAGTGACCCTGATGTGACCACCTTAAATACATGCCTGAAGGAGAGCTCATCAATTTTTGGAGAATCCTGGTAAGGAAGAGTCCTAAGTCACATTAGAATCAACCACACACATAAAATATTAGGGGCTAGGTTATCATGGATCAAAAAAAAAATGATCAAAGAGCAGAAAGCATTTTTATTTTTTTTTTAGATGGAATCTCACTCTGTCTCCCAGGCTGGAGTGCAATGGCGCAATCTCAGCTCACTGCAACCTCCACCTCCCAAGTTCAAGCGATTCTCCTGCCTCAGCCTCCTGAGTAGCTGGGATTACAGGCAGGAGACACCATGCCAGGCTAATGTTTTGTATTTTTAGTAGAGACGGGTTTCACCATGTTACTCAGGCTAATCTCGAACTCTGGAGCTCGTGATCCACCCACCTTGACCTCCTAAAGTGCTGGAATTACAGACATGAGCCACCGTGCCTGGCCCAGAAACCATTTTTGAAAATGGTGCAATAGCTACTTAACTCTATCCAATGCACTGTAGAGCCTGAATCCCTACACAAGTTATGCTCTTAATTTGGCAGGAATGCCCTTGGTTTCCTACTCAAGAAACCTTAGATTTAGAGTTCTGCAAGTAGGTGGCTGCCTAAAAACAGGATATGAGCAAGGTCAGTTTACTAATGTTACTATTATGACCACTTGGGTGCTGGGACGCTCTACGCTATTTTCCCTTTATCTGCCAGATTGCGGTGAGTCAAACTGCTCATCTTCACCACCTGAAGGGAATTCAGGAGATTTAATGAAAAACAAAACAACAACCAGAATAACAGGGAGAAACTTCTCTCACCCATTGCTTCCCTTGTATGGGGAATAATGAATAGATTTTTTCCAGTGAGGTTAATGATGGACCCAAAACCTTTTCTCTCCCTATAGAAAACCCATTGCCCTCTTGTTTTCCACCCTTAAAGGGATCTGCATTTGTTGGCGCCATTCTGCCAACACCCACTCCCATCTTCCAGAAGGGAATTGAAGACCGCCTAAGGGGCGGTTCTTTGAGAAGATCCCCGTCAGCCAACATCTATACAATTGGGTGGCCACATCCTCTTGACACATTTTGCAGCTGGAGGGGAGCCTACAAGAGGGAAGGAAAGTGGCTGAGGATGATTGTCTTCCTAATATGCAAGTTCCCACTTTCCACTTCCAGCATCCACCTTCCCGGCCTTGGCTTTCTGTTTCCCTGGAGTATAAGGGAAAGTTGCCAGCTGCCTCCTGGGTTTCATCCCAGAAAGCTCTGGCTTTCTTGCTGCCCATAGACACCTGGGCCAGGAGAGTGGCTAAGATGCCATGGAGTGCCCGTTTGGTCACTGGTAGTCTAGGCAGGTTGCCTCTTTTGGGGTTTGTGGTGATGGAGGGGAGGCCAAAAGGTGCACGCCGAGTCTCTGGGTGGCTGCAGGCAGCTCCAGCCCGGTCCTAAGAATCCTCCTCACCATGGTCACATGCCTGAGGAACTGTGCCCCCTCACATGTCTTAGTTAACAAGCAATTTCTTGTCTTCCCTGACCCTCTAGGAAAAGGGCTAAAAAACAGTCCATGGGCACCCCAACCTTATTAGCCCAAGGTGGGCAAAGAAGTGCAAAGCAGCCTAAAGTGCAATGCTCTGGGAAAAAAGCCCGCTAATTAGGGGCGCTCTCCCATAGCCATGTTAAACGCTCAGCAGGCTAAGGTACACAAGCTCTGCCAGCTGCAGTCATCTTCAAAAATAAACACAGTATGTCTCACTTTTTCATAAAATGTTTAAAAACACTGTGGCTAAAACACTTCAAAGCAAAACCTATGCTGCATGTCTGCTCCTCCCCTAAGCCTCTCTGCTTGGGGATAAAGTAATAAAAAGCCGAGTATATTTGCAGCACCTTACCTAACAGGGTTGGCTCCAAGCATAAGTGGCCTACAATTATAACGGCCTTCCCCCAGCCTGGTACCCTTGAGCCTCCCGACCCCGTGCTTCTATGTGCACTTTACCACCTGGTCATTCTCTAGCCTCGCTGCCACCTGTCATCTACCTTCCTTCCTCTAAAGGTAAGAGCAGCAGCAGGTGGCAGGATACTAAGAGAGGCCGCTTCAAAAGGCCACAGCAAAGGGAAAAACCAGCCCCAACTCTGCCTTCCCAAGCTCACTTCTAAAACATTCCAGCTAAAGGCTAATGCAGAAAAATGGGCAGAACAAAAAACATTTAAAAAAGATTTTGGGGGAGGGTTCTCATTATTTTACACACTTAGGTTAACTCAATGTAGGTTTATTATCCTAGCAACTTATAATATCACTCTGATAACTTTAAAGGGCCTAAATATGGGAAAAAATCACTTAAAATATCCATCCCTTTTATGCCTTAATTTAACAAATAGGTTTTCTCTTTCGTCATTTTTAATATCATTAATTTTTCATTTTTTTTCCTTTTTATTTTTTGAGACAGAGTTTAGCTCTTTAGTTCAGGCTGGAGTGGTGGGGCGTGATCTTGGCTCACTGCAACCTCTGCAACCTAGGTCCCAGTTTAAGTAATTCTCCTGCCTCAGCCTCCAGACTACCTGGAATTACAGGCACACACCACCATGTCCACTAATTTTTGTATTTTTAGTACAGACAGGTTACCACCATATTGGCCAGGCATGTCTTGAACTCCTGAACTCTTGATCCACCCAACTCAGCCACCCAAAGTGCTGGGATTAAAGATGTGAAACATCATGCCTGGCCTTATCTTTGGCCATTTTGGTATTTTATATGTTATGTACCTGTCTATAATCCCTCCAAACATACACAAAAAGCCACAAATAGCTTCTCTTCTCTTAAAAGGATGCCAGTGTTGTGTCTAATTATCAAAAAATAATCCTGCTATTCTTTTCCTACCATTAAGCAAAATACAATTTCATACCCTCTCAGTGTGTAATTTTAATTAGCAAATAGCAATAGCTAACTTTATTAGTAATATCAGCTTTCATTTACCAGCCTCTAAGCTTCTAAACTTGTTACAAACTGTGCCTGTGAAATTTGTGTCTATTGTTATCTCTCAGCCCTTGCTTCAGGCCGCTACTGTCTTTACAAATGGTTCAAAACTACAGCAAAAAACAGCTAGTGTGGCAAAATGCCATGCGAAATTAGCAACACAAAATCCAAAACCATTTTAAAACTATGCAACAAGCCAAGTTGAGTGCCCTAATGATTGCCTTACAAATGTTTCCTCATGGAAACAGTAATTCTGCTTATGCAGTATAGAGTATTACTATTTAAATCTTGCACATGTCGGCCAGGTGGGTTGGCTCACGCCTGTAATCCTAGCACTGTGGGAGCCTCAGGTGGGTAGATCATGAGGTCCAGAGATCAAGACCATCCTGCCCAACATGGTGAAACCCCGTCTCTCCTAAAACGACAAAAATTATCTGGTCATAGTGGCCAGTACTTGTAGGCCCAACTACTCAGAAGCTGAGGCAGGAGAATTGCTTGAACTAGGTAGGCGGGAGTTGCAGTGAGCTGAGATTGCACTACGTACTCTTGGCTAATGACAGAGGGAGACTCCGTCTCAATGAAAAAAAAAAAAATCAAAATTTTGCACATGTTGTTCCTGGAATTTCTCCGGACAAGAAACCCAAATGGCACTCAGAGTGTCAGAGGACAACAGTTTATTACACCAGCAGGCCCAGACAGGTGAGCACCCAAAAGTCTGGACCCGGGTCTAAGTGAGTACACAGTTCTTACAGGTTAGGGGCAAGGGGAGTAACTGACGATTTTCAGGCAATGGAGCAATTGTGCAGGGGGATTTTCACTAGTAAGCAGGAAGCAGATGTATAGAAGAACAAACGCAGGTAAGGTAGCTAAGGCAGCTATTTTAGACACTCAGGAAATTTTCCTCACAGGCCTTTCACACAGCCCTTCCATCTTATCCACCCCTTTGATGCTCTTTATGTTACATGTGGAGATCACCTTTTACAAATCAACATCTGTGCTCAGGGGCTTGTATCCCCAAAAGGCTAGCAACTGGGCAGTTGTCTGACAACCGTGGCTTCCGTGAAGCACTGGAGTATGTTAATCACAGAGGGACTAAAGGTAAGGGCCAAAAAGATTACTAGCAAAGGCCCAAGGAGGGGAAGAGCCCAGTGGATCCAGGTTCGGAGCCCTGGGAAGCTCCAGCTGCTGACTGTGCGCCACCTTTGAATGCGGTCCCTTAGCTCTTTAACTTCCTGTTACTACTCCTGACTGATTGACACAGTAGTAACACCCTTCCTGTAGAAGAGGCAGGTAACTGCCTTCTGAGCCAGAAGCCCAAGGCTCTGCATTTTGTAAGACTACTGTGGCTAGGGAATTTAACTGCTTCTGGAGGGAGGCCAGGGAATTGGCCACCCTTTCCATGTCATCATTGAGTTCCCGGGACAGTTTATGACAGAAATGGGCTGAAGTGCCAATGCCTCCTATTGTGGTCCCTATCCTGGCTGCTGTTCCAGTTCCTACTAAGAGGGGAAGTAACGCAGCTGATTTGGACCAGTAGTAGTGAGGATTTAGAACCACTTTAATTTCTTGGTCAATGGAAACTGAGATTTCTGGGGTTAGGAATGCGCAGATACACACTCCCCTTCAGTTTGCACCTAAACATACATTTATCTACCTGCTGCAGAGGAAGATGCTGGGGAGGCACACTGGGTCTTCACATTGGAGAGGGCGATAGTTGTTGTATAAGGCAGGCGTGAGAGGTTGTCAATTACAGGTGATAAATTACTACTGACAGTCCTGGACACTCACTACCGTTGTAAGGATGGTCTCCAGTGTGAATCCTAGTATTTTGTACCAGGTGTGAATCATGCTAGAAAGCGTTGCCACAAAGCTTACATTTGTAAGGTCTCTCCAGTATGAAGTCTATGATGGTATGTAAGGTGTGACTTTCGAATGAAGGTCTTGCCACACTCATGACACTTATAAGGTGTCTCTCCAGTATGAAGTCTACGATGGCATGTAAGGGATGACATGTGACTGAAGGTCTTGCCACACTCATTACACTTGTAAGGTTTCTCTCCAGTGTGAATTCTAGCATGTTTTGCCAAGTATGAATTACATGCAAAAGCCTTATCACAAACCATACATTTGTATGGTTTCTCTCCAGTGTGGATTATCTTATGCATTTCAAGGTGTGATTTGCGAGTGAAGCCTTTGTCACATTTTTCACATTTGTAAGGTGTCTCTCCAGTATGAAGTCTACGATGGCGTATAAGGGATGACTTCTGATTGACGGTCTTGCCACACTCATGACACTTGTAAGGTTTCTCTCCAGTATGAAGTCTACGATGGTATGTAAGGGATGACACGTGATGGAATTTCTTGCCACACTCATTACACTTGTAACGTTTCTCTCCAGTATGAAGTCTACGATGGTATGTAAGGGATGCCACGTGATGGAATTTCTTGCCACACTCATTACACTTGTAAGGTGTCTCTCCAGTATGAAGTCTAAGATGGCATGTAAGGGATGACATATGATTGAAGGTCTTGCCACACTCATTACACTTGCAAGTTTTCTCTCCAGTGTGAATTCTAGTGTGTTTTGCCAGGTATGAATTACATGCAAAAGCCTTATGACAAACCACACATTTGTATGGTTTCTCTCCAGTGTGGATTATCTTATGCATTTCAAGGTGTGATTTGCGAGTGAAACCTTTGTCACATTTTTCACATTTGTAAGGTGTCTCTCCAGTATGAAGTCTATGATGGCATGTAAGGGATGACCTCTGATTGAAGGTCTTGCCACACTCATGACACTTGTAAGGTTTCTCTCCAGTATGAAGTCTATGATGGCAGGTAAGGGATGACACCTGACTGAAGGTCTTGCCACACTCATTACACTTGTAAGGTTTCTCACCAGTGTGACATCTATGATGGCTTTCAAGATATCGCCTCTCTTTAAAGACCTTGCCACACACATCACATTCATATTGTTTCTTTCCTAAATGGTTTATCTGTTTCCTTAAGAACGAGCTACAACTGAGGTTGCCATTGGCTGAAAAGAAAAAAAATAAATGAATAAAAAATAAATGAAAAGAATGAGCTACAATTAAAGCGTTTCCCACTTTTATGACATTGGAAAGATTTTTCTCTCATGTGTACTTCCTGTTTCTGTGTAAGTAATGAAGAATGGAGGAAATTACTGTCATGGTTATTAGAAATATGGGTTTTGGCTATACAAAAAATTATTTGGGATGTTGAAACTAAGGAAGCATCATCGACAGACTTCTCAACTTGATTACCGACATTCCCTTCAGTCTGAAATATGTGAAGTTTAGGAAGATGCGAATGAAAGATTACTCCAAGCTCATCTTTAATAGGCTTGTTTCCAGCACGCCTTTCATCATATTGGTCTGTACTACCAGTCAGCTTTTTTATTTTTGTCCTGGGTGCTTCACAGTTATTTCTTTCATCTTCTTGCCATTGAAACTCAAAGTCATGAATATTTTTCTCAATTTCCTGGAAGGAAAAACCCCAATGTGATGACTTTCATCTCTTTCCAATGTCCCTGTGTGGAACACTTCTGTATTGCCTTTCCCTGTTGATGAAAACTTCTTCATTATGCATTTGGAAGAGACATCTATAAAATATAAACTCCACGGCTCCTGGCAAGGACTAGTGCTTTTATAAAAAGAGACAGTAAAGAACTTGTTGCCTGTTCCTCTGTCCACCATGACAAAACACAGCAGGAAGATGCTTGGGCAAATTCACAAAGAATACTCTCACCAGAACTAATTTGGCTGCACCTTGCTCTTGGGTTTCTCACTTTCTAAATTCAAAATAAATAAATCTCTGTGTCTTTTTTTTTTTTTTTTTTTTTTTTTTTTTGAGATGGAGTTTCGCTCTTGTTACCCAGGCTGGAGTGCAATGGCGCGATCTCGGCTCACCGCAACCTCCGCCTCCTGGGTTCAGGCAATTCTCCTGCCTCAGCCTCCTGAGTAGCTGGGATTACAGGCACGCGCCACCATGCCCAGCTAATTTTTTTTGTATTTTTAGTAGAGACGGGGTTTCACCATGTTGACCAGGATGGTCTTGATCTCTTGACCTCGTGATCCACCCACCTCGGCCTCCCAAAGTGCTGGGATTACAGGCGTGAGCCACCACGCCCGGCCAATCTCTGTGTCTTAAGCTTCCCATTTCAACCTATTTTTTTTTTTTTTTTTTGAGACTGAGTCATGCTCTATCATCCAGACTGGAGTGTAATGGTATGATTCTCCTGCCTAAAGAGATTCTCCTGCTGGAGACTTCCAAGTAGCTAGGACTACAGCCTGGCTGAGAGAGAAAGAGAGACAGTGAGTGTGTGTGCGTGTGTGTGCAAGTAGCTGAGACTACAGCCTCTGTGTGTGTGTGTGTGCATGTGCACATGCATGTGTATGGGTGTGTGTGTATATCACAGTCTCACTGCATCATCCAGGCTGGAGTGCAGTGGCATGATCTAGGCTCATTGCAACCTTCACCTCCTGGGATCCAATAATTCTTTGGCCTCAGCCTACCAAGTAGCTGGGATTACAAGTTCATGCCACCACACCAAGCTAATTTGTGTAGTTTTAGTAGAGATGCGGTTTGACCATGTTGCCAAGGCTGGTCTCAAACTCCTGACCACAGGTTATCTGCCCATCTTGGCCTACCAAAGCATTGGGATTACAGGTGTGAGCCAACATACCCAGTGAATTTTTTTGTTTTTAGTAGATCCAAGGTTTTAAAATGTTGGCCCAACTGGACCCAAACTCTTGACCTGAAGCCATCCAACCATCTTCTATTCCAAAGTGCTGGGAATAGAGGCATGAGCCACTGCGGCCAGCCATTCTAAGCTATTTCTGACATCACAGTGAAATGACTGAGATAGAGAAATGGGCATCTCATCATCAACATCATCAAAGGCTGACAAATCTTATGAAACAAAGAAAGTTTAGAATCTGGCCGGGCGCGGTGGCTCAAGCCTGTAATCCCAGCACTTTGGGAGGCCGAGGCGGGTGGATCACGAGGTTAAGAGATCGAGACCATCCCGGACAACATGGTGAAACCCTGTCTCTACTAAAAATACAAAAAAGTTAGCTGGGCATGGTGGCGCGTGCCTGTAATCCCAGCTACTCAGGAGGCTGAGGCAGGAGAATTGTCTGAGCCCAGGAGGGGGAGGTTGCGGTGAGCCGATATCGT